AAAAGTAGTTGATTATAGTGTTTTATCAGGAGAGAGACATGAAAACAAACACATTCAAGTGAATAGTTGAATTACCATAATCCTTTTTATTTTCTCATTGCTTTTTTATCTGCTTAAGAATTATGGTAAGCTTTTAAGGGAGTGTTTAGTATTATTTTGTGGAAAATGTTTTTCATTTTTTTTATGTTTGGTTGGGTTAAATATTTTTGAAAATATGTTTTTCAAATCAACTCATTAATCTCAAATTTAAGAAAAATGACTTCCCTTCAAAAATTAAGGAAAACATTTTTCAAAACTCTCTTCAAACTTCAAATTACAATTTTTTGTTGAAAAAATAAATTTAAAGTTTATTTTTAAAAAATATTTTGAGAAAATAGTCAAATACCACCTCAAATTATTGTCGAACTTCCAACTACACACTTATGTTTTAGGAGAATCCTATCACCCCCTAGACTACTTTAAAACAAAATAATTACACTCTTAAATGTTGACATGACATAAAGAGTGTCTTCACTTTCTTAGATGCATGCAAAAGTTAGAAGAATTGATAAATAATATTTTTAATTTGACTTTTTGTCAAATATATAATTTTAACCTACTCTTCAAGTTTTTTTTTTAATTATATGGAGAAATGCAATGAACTAAAACAATTATGACTATAAAACAATTTTTTTCGATCATCAAGCAAACTAAACATGAATTTTGGGTATATTATCTGGGTCATACATCTTTTTTCATTTTTATGAATCTCAAATTAGTTCAAAATATCAATACCATTAATCTATCTTTTCATTGATTTCAAGTCAGTAACATATATCAACCATCAGATCTTATCTTCAATCTCTATTGTTGTTTAGTGAAGAACCAAGAATTTAACCATCAACAACTCGTAAATAAAGTTTTACAAATTTGGTGTCATAGAGACAAATAAATATCACAATAAAAAATTCAAAAAAAAAGAGAGAGAGTAATCAAGCTCGTCAATGTGCATGAAGAATGATATAAAGTAATGGAAAAGTGATAATGTTGAATTTTTTTCTGGATAACTAATTTGAAAGAAGTGAATGAAAAACAAAAGAGAAAAGGAGGAAGAAAAGAGTATAGATCTTTTTGTAATTAATGAAAAAGGTAATAATAAGGAAAAAAATTAATATAAATAATAAAAAATAACAGCTGACAGCTAGTGGACATCACTGCATGTTGAGAGTATGGTTGTCTAGCTTTAGGGTGATATATATTATTTTTTTTGAAAAAAATCAGGGGGATAATAAGATCCTGCAAAGTATAAATGTGTAGTTGAGAATTCGATAATAAACTAGTGAACCATTTGACTATTTTCCTCAAATATTTTTAATTCAGTTTCAAAAGTTATTTTCTCTAGTAAAAATTAAAAATAACTTCTCAAATATATTTCATTCATAAATCAAACACTAAAAAGTCTTATTCACAATCAAAAATCTAATTATCGAAAAAAACATTTTCCTTCATATTAAATACACGCTAAGACTTGTGCCTCTTGCATCAACTCTTGCACCTTAACATTATGATGTTCAACTAAAATCACATGTGAAGCAGAAAATAAACTGGGCTATTCTTGTTTTTGACTTGGTCAGCCAAAATGTAATAATACTCAAAACATAGTTACTGATACTCAAAAAAAAATTCAAGAATAAGAGAATGCAAGTTGTTTAAGGTGAAAATACCTTCAAGGCAGCAGCTCCACCACCACAAGAGTCGTACTGAACAACATGCATAACCTTCCAGCCCTATCAAATTCACCAATTTCAATTGGAATATATACCATTTGAATAGAAGATAGCATAGAGTGTATCGATTAGACAACACGTGGCCAAAAAAACTGCAAAAATCCAAAATGTATTAATACATCTGTTCTTCCCTAACCATTAGTTTTTTGTCCAACACAAAATTTAAACTCAAACAATTTATTACTCAACGCATCACCCAATAGAAAATCAGATACGAAATTTGGGTTAATTCTCTAATCCCATATTGAAACAAAGTAGTTATATATATTGTTCGAAAATAGCATAAAAAGTAATAAATTACGGTGAAATGAAAAATTTAAAATATGTATATAAGAAATTTTTTTAACTTTCTTAAAATGCTTGTGCCACATAAAATGGAATAGAGGACTAACATATATTATTTGAAAATAGCATAAAATATACTATAAATTACAACACTTAAAAAAAATTAAAAGAAAAAAAAATAAAAAATTTAGTTGATTATTCAAATTTCATCTGTGTCACATAAATTGAGACAAAACTAACATACATTGGGTCGATGCTGGCACAAACGCTTATATCTAGTACTATCTAATAAATGTCAATAAGATGCCTCCTCTATATCAATATGTCTGATTTTTGACAGAAGGGTATTTCTATAAATCTCATCTTAATGAAGTGATGTAATTGGGTAAAGTAAACCTTCATACAACTTCATTAAGTACCGTCACGAAAAAAATGGCTTCACAACCTTTATGTAAGCATATGATACAAAAATGAACCTATATCATATTTTCAATAATTGTTGTATCTAGAACATAACTTTTATTTCATTTTTAAGGGAAAAGGGGCTTGTATTCCTAATTTTGTTATGATTAATAAATTGAAGTAAATATTTTTATTCTCTAACAGATAGAGTATGGATTAAATATATATTTTCTATGCATGGTGAATGCATAATTTCATGTGTATATTTACGTTTTTGTTAACAAATTGAATCAAAAAGAACTTAGTTCTTAATTTTAAAAATATCCCATGACTATAAAACATTGCTTGACTTATTCTTTTACTTTTGTTTGACATGACTAAAAAAATTTTAAGTACAATTTTATTCTAATTCAACTCAAATCTGTTATGATAGAGTAAGTGATATTTTCTTTTCACTTGGATCGAGTCTATATAAGGTCTAGAGATGAGATACAATGCTTTTTAAAAAATAATTTTAGAATTTATTTTAAAAAAAAAATTACTTAATATAATATACTTCACTATCATATATACATATTTTACCTCTAATTTAATTTTTTTTTATATGTAACACCACTTTTTAATAATTACTCATATATTTTAAAAAATTAAACTAGATACACAAATCTTTTAAATTTAACAATAAATAATTATCTTAAAATTTAATCTCCTTAATTAATGAGATACTAACTATTCAAAATTTTCTCTCTCAAATCACACCAAACATTTCCCTCCCCAGTCCTATTACCCGTATGTATCTAACTCCCATTCCCATGTAATTCACCTTATACATTTCTTCTTTGACCAACTCAATACATTTTTGCATGTTCTAAATTCTTTAACTACTTCTTGATACTCCCCATGGTGATCTGAATGGAAAGTGCTAATGGAGAGTTGTTGGGCCCTGATCCTGCTGAGACGCCATCATTTTCAAAAATTTCTTAGTAATTGTGAACTATGACAGAAACAATGAATGTCAAATGATACTGTTTTAGAAATTACCATACTCACTCCTTTCAAGATAGTCATTTACATTTTGTTCATTTTTGTCATTTATATTCTAAGGTATCTCGATTTTAATCACTTTCATATATTTGAGTAATGTAAACTTTATATTCTTTATCAATTTTTTTTTCTTTGTATCTTAAAGTTTAGAATATTTTGTCCTTGAGATACATGTATCATTACTTTTGAGGTACATGTATTTATCGATTTTAAAAGTCGAGATACACAATTTATTAATTTGAATTAAAGAGTGTAGCTTATTTCCTTCTATAATTTTCGTATTCGATCTCAGAGATCCATGAACCCGAATGCCTCAATAATATTGTGAGTATTGTGAACTTTTTTTTCAGCTATTCCTTCCTTTTGTATCTTATAGTTTCGAATATATTCGTCTTTGAGATACATGCATCATTATTCATGAGACACATATATCCATCAGTTTTAAAAGCTGAAAACACAATTTATTATTTTAAATTAAAAGGTATAACTTAGTTTCCTTCTATAATTTTTGTATTTGGTTTTAGAGATCCATGAACCGAAGGCCTTAACAATACTATGATATTGACCATTTGCAAAAAAACATCGAGGATTGAAGATTCAAAAGAAGAAATTGATGAAGAAGATGAAATTTATGATTGAAATTGATGAAGAAGATGAAATTTATGATTTCTGAATTAATAATATATTTGATTTAGATTTCACATTAAAACTGATAGTAGTTCAGATTCAAAAGGGAAGATACAACTTTTATGTGTCTTGTAATGTGTTTCTTATAAGACACTGAACGATGGTGCGCCTTACAAGGCGCATGAAAGTTTGAGTCTTACTCAATTTGACTTTATATAATGATGTTAATTTGAGGGTTACAATATTGTCCTTTTAATCTGAACTGAATTTTGTTGACCTTTTGAAGTGTTTAGCATTTTCTTTCTCAAAAGCTTCATTCTTGGCTTAAACTCTATCATCTAACACCTAATCTGAGCTTTTAAAAGTAATCATTCAATTATTGTTCACATTCGGAAGTCAATTAATCCGATTTGAGGGCTGAATAAATTATATATATAGTTCTAGATAAATCACCCCAACCAGTTTCAGATTATGTTTTCGTTGACTAATTATTTCTGCAAGTATGATTGGACAAGTTACTGGTGTAAAGTAGCCATCGATTTTGATGGTAGTCTTTGAGTAGTAATAATATTGGGCGATAGTTGATTAGAAATCCACCAGTCATTAAGAAATGTCAATTTTCATTTCAACTATTCTGTTTCCATTTATCATCAGTTAGGATTGTGAAAGGGAAAAACATATATACATTTTATATTGGGCGATAGTTGATTAGAAATCCACCGGTCATTAAGAAAATGTCAATTTTCATTTCAACTATTCTGTTTCCATTTATCATCAGTTAGGATTGTGAAAGGGAAAAACATATATACATTTTAATTGATAACTATGTTATTTTAGTTTAGGTGTATACAAATAAATATTTAAAGTTGTATAATATTAGACAAGTATGCACGTATATACTTTGTAATACAGGTAAAATGCCACGTAGTAAACACAATTATCAGGTAAGATGATACATAGGAGGCAAATAGAAGTTGTTACAGCTGAATATATTTATTTGGTCATACTGCACAAGCCTCGCAAACATTTTATTACATAATTTGGGAGAACACTGCTCTATGGCTCCACAATAATCTTTCCGGTGGCATGTCCATCAATACTCTTGCTCCAAGCATCTTCAGCCTTGCTCAGAGGAAATTTTGAGTCGATTACTGTTTTCAGTTTCCCTTCCTTCACAAGCCCAACAATCAATTCCAGATTCTCCTTCTTCAGAATTAAAACCAGTGGCACCAACTGTTTCTTTGAGAAGGTCAATTTCTTTACCGCAAAGGTCCACATGGCGCAAACTGCAGGAGTTATATCTATCACATTTCCGCTTGAACTTAAATTAGGCTCAAAGGTAGACCAAGGGATGCCTGTTGTGCAGTGAATCACTGCATCATATTTTTGGCCTGACGGACTCTTAAGAGCTGCTCCCTCTGGGGTATTGTAATCAAGAACTTCATCTGCTCCTAAGCTCTTCACAAGATCAATGTTGCGCACTCCACAGGTGGCAGTAACATGAGTGTTACCAAGTTTTGCCAATTGAACAGCATAGTGACCGACGCCACCTGAGGCAGCCGTAAATAGAATGTTCTTCCGGGGTCCAGTTCCATTGAGCTTTACCTCAGAATGATTGACAAGGGCCTGAAGAGCTGTAAGACCTGCAACAATAAGACCTGCACCTTCTGCAGCTGATACTTCAGCGAGTCTTGGAACAGTCAAACTCTCATTAGCCACCGCATATTCAGCCGATCCACCTCCATTCTGTATCAAAGCTCATGAAAGATACATCAATCATAAGCGATAGAACACAATATTACAACATGACTATTCAAAGTAAAATGATTTAGCTAATGAGGAGGAATACTACAAAGTCAAGATGAGTGAGCAGATTGCTCTAGCCATAGTGCCTCCACTTCCAACCAAACTGTTAGGATTCAAGTCAGTGGTGTAGTTTCGTGGGGAGGATGATTTGAATTTTCAATGAGGGGACTTGGCAGTGAACAGAAACAACACAATATCCGTAGAAGACGAATGTAAACCCTGAGCAGGTCCCTCACCTACTAAGTTTCAACCAAGCTCCAAAATGTAAGAGAGATGTAGCGAAAGGAAAGCATTTGAAAAGAATTGGACCAACCAGGGCATTGAGCATAGCCACAACCTTGTCACCAGCCTTGAATCTTTTTACATTAGATCCTACCTCTACAACCTCTCCTCCCACGTCGATAGCTGTTACAACCAAAAGTCAGTTTAGAACCAAAAATCAACACGAATAAAAATGCATATTACAATGCATTTAAGCAATTACTCCATAAAATTAAAGATAATGGCCAGGCTGTCCTGATGTCTTTGCCTTTTAACTTCCCATTCGAGTACATTACCATTAAAATTGCATGCTTCAGAAGGGGCATTATTACCTGATCCTACTCACTATAGGAAGTTAGTTGGAAAACTAAACTTTCTCAGCGACACACGTTTGGACATTGCCTATAGTATGCAACACTTGAGCCAGTTTATGCAGTCTCCTAGAGAACCCCACTTCAAGGCTGCCATACATGTCCTCAGATACTAGAAAAGTGATCCTACTTTGGGTTTATTTTTGTCAAATGCTCCAACCTATGACCTCAAAGCCTATTGTGACACTGATTGGGCTTCATGTCCAGATTCCAGGAAATCAGTCAGTGGATACCTTGTTCTACTAGGAGATTGTCCTATTAGCTGGAAGTTTAAGAAGCAAGAAACTGTGTCATTATCATCTGCCGAAGCAGAATATAGGTCCATCAGGAAAGTTGTTGGAGAATTGGTTTGGCTTAGAAGATTGCTGATTGAACTGACCATTCCATGTTCTGATGCTACACCAGTGTTTTGTGATAGTCAAGTTGCTGCTCATATTGCTCGAAACTCAGTATTTCATGAACGAACTAAACATATTGAGATAGATTGTCACTTTGTTCGTGATAAGCTACAAGATGGATTCATATCTTTGCACCACATTTCTACGGTCAATCAGTTGGCCGACATTCTAACCAAGGCTCTCACAGGAATTAAACACACGCATGTCTTAAGCAAGTTGGCTGTGACATCCTCACCTCCAACTTGAGAGGGGGTGTTGAGATGATGCACTATTTCAGTTTGTTAGAGGATCAGATTGGTAGATACAGTAAATTAATTGTTCCATACAGAGTTAGTTGAGTTGGTTAGGATTAAATTCTATAGATTAGATATTTTACTTGATCTCTTATACATGTATAGATATGGATGCTAGTAATTGGAATAAGATACTTTCTTTTCCCCAAATCAATCTTCTTCATTTCATCTGTTTACAGTTTACAGAATTCATCTCCCTCCATTAATGGAGGGGTTCAGTAAGCTTGATAGATCTCTTTTTCGACATTAACTTTTCAAACACTTTGTAGAGATGGGTGATGTGAAAAACATGAAACACAAGGCAACTGCAATCTAAACCAAAAAGCACAAAAAATAGAGTGCAATGAAATTCTAACAAAATGTGTAGATGATTGAACTTACAAGGAATAAAAGGAAACTTGGTAGGAAGAAGTGGACGAAGCATGCCCTTCTGAATTTTCCAGTCAAAGGATTTATGCTTGTAGCCTCCACTTTTACCAAGACTTCATCCTTCTTCGGAGTAGGTACAGGAACTTCCACATGCTGCAAGAGTTTTAATATTAGAACTACTGTTTCTACTTCTGATCAGTATAGAGCAGCCTCATTAGCGGAAGTGTTTAAAACAAATTACACAAAAAAGGAATAACAATATGCTTTCTCTGCAATGACGTCCCAAAGAATCAACCAAACATAATTACTGATACGAAAAAGAAAAAAAATAATTGTTTTGCAAAGCGGAATGTGAAAATACCTTCAATCCAGCGGAGCCGCTGCCGTAAGAGTCGTATTGAACAGCATGCATAGCCATATCAGATTCACCAATTTCAATTCTCTCTCAAATTGGAGCAAAATGGGCGAGGCTGATGGATAAGATTGGAATATATATACATGTGAATCGGCGGTAGCATTAGAGTGTATCTATTGGGGCACACGCGGCCGCCTATCCACGACTATTCTCTTAAAAGGGCAAAATCCAAGATGAGTGGTAGTGTGTCCATCAACATCAGTAAATGCAACTTGCTAACCTTTGACTTGACATGGAATTGAACTTTTTAAAATTTAATGGTTTAAAATAACTTGGTAAATATTTTTCTTACCTAATACAATAATATATGTCTTCATATAAACTCAGACAAAAAATAATATGATAATAATTATTAGAATATTTTCTAAAAAAGAAAAATAAAAACTGTTTCAACTCTCTAAATATGATAAATTTAAGAAATTAATATAATTTAATACAAAATAATCTTTATATGTTAGGAATTGTAATCAAAATTTTATTTTAGTAATTAGTATTAAAGAGTATATTTATAATTTGGAACTATATTGTTTTCATAATCAAAACAAATTATATTTATACTTGTATTACATCATATCAATGACTCGTTCAATTTTTATCTTAGGTTGTGTACATGATATTTATACTTTTATGAATCAATGATTTAATCATCAATGAATAATAATAGACTAAAATCTATATTTTAAATCATCTATTATATTACAACTAATATATTAGTGGTAATGATCTGGGGTGTATTTACGTAGTCAAGTACCATACTTTTTTTCATATTTTAGCTTAGTTTCTAGTATAATTTTTGTGAATATCCTTGTCTATATTAATGATATGATTTGATAACTAGTGGACATAATTAGGTTGAATTCAAGCCAATGACAAGAAGAGAAGACCTATACGATGGATTAGAACATAAAAGCAAAGTAAATCGGACTAAAATGAAGAAAACATAGCTCTAGAATAGACCATGAGATGAGTCCCACGCTGCACCTTTTTTGTGAACTTAACTTCAGTCCAGACTCCTCACAATGCTTCTTGCATCACAACCCCCTTGTCTGTCAAATTAAAAAAAAGTTCCTTGGATGTGCGCTCATGCACGTGCGTGCCTGTGTTTGTGACGTTTTTAAGAGGACTAGATTTAGAATAACTATTAGGACTTAGAATTATAAAATAGAACTTAATTGTTCTTAGTTTTTAGCTTTTGTTTATAAGTGATACTAGTATATGAGCACGTGCGTTGCACGTTTACTTCATAACAATGAATATGAACTATTAAAAAATTATATAATTTTTAAAAAAATAATATTTGAGTTATAATAACAAATATGAAAAGTAAAATGATAAACGTTTTTAATGAATAAACTTATTGATAAAAGGCAAATGCGCGATTTAACTTTTTAAAAAAATGTTTGTAGTGTATAGTTAACTTGAAGATTTTCTTTTTGCATTTAGTCCTTCCTTTATTATAATTTTGGTATAGAAATTTTTTATTTGTTTTAAAAGACAAAATAAAGTTGCAAAAACAAACATGGAGGCACACTATCTTATGATTAACTTTCTTAAAATGTCTTTTTTATCTTATAGAATAGAGTAAAAATATTGAAAATTTTCCTTAAAATGTCTCTCTTATCTCATACAATAAATTGAAATTAAATTAATAGTTACACAGGATATACATTTCAAGAAGATAAAATATTTGACAGTAATTAGTAAAAGATGAAATTCTCCTTCTCATTAAGTAGAATGAAATTAAGTAATTCAAATTTATAAAAAAGAAACTTATTAGAAGGAAATAACTAAAGATTTAAAGTGCAATGATTGATATTTAAATTATGTAATTATACAAATAAAATATTAATATGTAATCAACTAAATCAGATTTTAATTTAATGGAGAGCCAAAATGATAATATTAGTATTCTTACAACTAAAAGTTTGTTAAAATATATTTTACATTTTTTTTTAATAGGAGCAATATTTGGTCAAAGGATAAAAGATCATGTAACTTCTTAAGCATTTTGGTGTATCATTTTTTGAATTTGGGATTTGGATCTAATGATAATTTTAATGAAACTTGTCTAAAAATTATAGATTTTATCCGCAAGCACATGTAAGAATGATCTTTCACAAATATTTAAAATTTAAGCTGCAAAAATATAATTATTAATATATCTTGTAGGCATTAGTTGTTTTACATGCCTTATACACTATTTTTATGATTTTATTTGTCTCATTTTCTAAAGCAAAAAATACACCCTTCAATCAATTATATTCTTAAAACAAAATTACAAATACAAAGAAAAAGTATCATATATAGCGCAAGTTTAGCGTAAGGCTACCAACGAAAAATGAAAAAATTCTAAGACAATCTTTTCTCTATTCTTTTTATTGATAATGTGAATTGAAACAAAGTTATAGTAATAAACATTCAACTTTTGACCATAAAAAAAAGTTAAAATCTTTGGAAGACAAGTTAATGGAAGTGATATTCAACTACATAAATGGAGGATTTTATCATAGTTGTGATCTCAACAAATAAGTAAAAAAAAACAAATACATCAAGCTTCACTATTCTAGTAATTAAAGTGTTATTCATCTCTATAATCACATTATGCCTTGTAATCTCGACACAAATCTTCTTGCCTTGAAATTTTCTTCACTTGATTAAAGCTTCTCTAGTCTTCCACACTCAAAAATTGTATCACATATAAATCTTTCTATGAAAATAATGTTAAAAGCTTTGTATTTATAGAAAAAAATATAGCTTTGGAATATGAAGATTCACTTACAAAATTGAAAGGTCAAGTGTTACAAAACTTGAAGACAAATATTAATTAAGAACAAAAATTAATTTAGAAGACAAACCATATACATGTATCTATTTAAAGGAATAACTTTTTTTTTATTTTTTTCTATTTAATTTACTCACATGTATACCAACTAAAAATATTATAGAAATTCTACTATTTACTGTTTAATTAATTAAATATTTAATAATATATATATATATATATATATATATATATATATATATATATATATATATATGATGTTTTATAACTTTTTTTAATTAATATAGAGGTAAAATTAAATTAAATTAAAAACTTTAATTAAAAATTATTCTAAAGAAGTGCAAAAGTCATTAGCATTTTTATTAAAATAATGTAATTTAATATTCAAATCAAATAGTTAAATATTTTTATAACATTTTAATTTATAAAAAGGGTAAAATTGTAATTTAACTTTTAACTTTTTTGGTTTCCTCTTATAATAATATGGGAAAAGGGTCAAAAATGTCCTTAACGTATTGAAAATGACTCAAAAATGTCCTTCTTCTATCTATTGGATCAAAAATGCCCTCTCATCTACCTATTTGGATCAAAAATGCCTTTAGAGTCAAATTTAAGCCTAAAATTGCCCTTACCTTTAACAGAAGCTGATGTGACAAATATATATATTTTAGTTAAATGTGTGGCATTATTTTATTGATCCACATATATTAGACCCACTTTCATTCATAATCATACCCATTAACCCAAACCCAAATCCAAACCCATTTCTCCCACTTTCTTCATCTTTTTTCTAAAAAAATTATTTGAAATATTAATAAAATAATATCAAAACAATCAATACAACAACATGAAGTTCCAAGCATTTCTCTAAAAAATTCAAAATCTTTCGTGAGCTAATTGGAGATTGAACTCCTCCTCAACTGTTAAAGGCTCCATTTTTTTTAAAAAAAATGTGATAAACAACATGGCTTGATTTGATGAATGTCTTGCTTCCATGGGAGATTGAATGTATGATTTTTTTTGTTCCCATTTCATCAAATCCACTCATTCTTTTGATACGTTTTGAGATACAAATTAAATTGTACTTATCTTTACTATCATAAAATTAGTAGGTCAATTAATATTTTTTTCGAGAGAATGATGATATATAGAATTTTTATAACCTTTTTTTTAAAGATTAGAATTTCAGTAATTTACCGAAAGAATTTGATAGTATTTTATTAATTCTCCAAATAATTTTATAGAAAAAAGATGAAGAAAGAAAAAGTAGGATCTTTTAGAAATAGGTTTGGATTAATGGATATTATTGAAAATGAAATTGGGTGTAATTACATGTGGACCAATAATCATAATGCGAACACATGAAATTTTAAATATTATTTTTACCACATCAGCTTCTCTTAAATGGAGGGATATTTTAGGTTGAAATTTTACTCTAAGAACATTTTTAATCCAAATAGATGGATGAAAGGGCATTTTTAATCCAATAGATGGAAGAAGGACATTTTTGAGCTATTTCTAATAGCTTAAGGGCATTTTTATCCTTTTCCCTAATAATATATGATAAGCCAGATGACAAACTGCACACAAGCCTTTTTAGACCAGTACTCTATGGCTCCACAACAATCTTTCCGGTAGCATGTCCATCAATACTCTTGCTCCAAGCATCTTCTGCCTTGCTCAGAGGAAATCTGGAGTCGACCACGGTTTTAAGTTTCCCTTCCTTCACAAGCCCAACAATCAATTCCAGGTTTTCCTTCTTCGGAATCAGAAGCAGTGGCACCAACTGTTTCTTTGAGAAGGTTAATTTCTTTACTGCAAAGGTCCACATGGCATTAACTCCAGGAGTTATATCGACCACCTTTCCACTCGAACTTAAATTAGGCTCAAAGGTAGACCAAGGGATGCCTGTCGTGCAGTGAATCACTGCATCATACTTTTGCCCTGACGGACTCTTAAGAGCTGCTCCCTCTGGGGTCTTGTAATCAAGAACCTCATCAGCTCCTAAGCTCTTCACAAAATCAATATTGCGCGCTCCACAGGTGGCAGTAACATGGGTGTTACAAAGTTTTGCCAGTTGAACAGCATAGTGACCGACACCACCCGAAGCAGCCGTAACTAGAATGTTCTTCCGGGGTCCAGTTCCATCGAGCTTAACCTCAGCAGGATTGACAAAGGCCTGAAGAGCTGTAAGACCTGCAATAACAAGACCTGCACCTTCTGCAGCTGATACTTCAGCGGGTCTTGGAACAGTCAAACTCTCATTAGCCACCGCATATTCAGCCAATCCACCTCCATTCTGTATCAAAGCTCATGAAGATCCATCAATCATAAACGATAAAACACAGTA